GCCTCCGCCTCCGCCTCCGCCTCCGCCTCCGCCTCCGCCTCCGCCTCCGCCTCTGGAATGCTGGGATTAACGGTGTGCAGCACCACCACTTGTCTCAGATATTCTTTTGCTACGTTGCTCATTTGTTTTTTCAAAACAAAATCTTACATGGTAGCCCAGGCTGGTCTGAAACTCAATATGGAGCCCAGGCTGGCCTCAACCTCATGACAGTCTGCGTCAGTTTCCCAGATTGCAGGCAAGAGCCACCATTCCCATGGTGAGGTAGGACCTAATGATCCCTCCTTATTAGTAGAAGTGAAACAACTTCCTCAGGGTCTCACAATGGGTGAGAGGCAAGAATAGCCCTTGAACCAGAAACTCTGCGTGCAGTGGTTCTGAGGGCGCTGACGAAAGGAACCCTTTATCTGTAGTAAACTAGCTTTCCCCATGTTACAAGGATAGGGCTCTCAAATTAGCACCTCAGAAATGAACCTCAGGGGCTGGAGAGATGGCTCAGCGGTTAAGAGCACTGACTGCTCTTCCAGAGGTCCTGAGTTCAAATCCCAGCAACCACATGGTGGCTCACAACCATCCGTAATGAGATTCGATGCCCTCTTCTGGTGTGTCTGAAGACAGCTACAGTGTACTCATAAATCTTTAAAAAAAAAAAAAAAATCTCAGAGAGGGTGTGTGACCAGTCTGAGAGTGCACAGCTGGTCTCACTAGATGGCTTCCCGAGTTTTGGGGGGCTTACCTACCTCATGGGCCAGCATCTTATACAGCTCCTCCCGGGTGGTCAACAGCCGATTCCGGTCTGTACTATCTATCACAAGGATGACAAACTGTCCAGCAGGATTGAAATATGAGCTGCAAGCTTTCTTTTTGGTGAACATGCTTCCTACCAATGGTTCTGATCACTGGCCTCTGCCCAGCCCAAGTGCCATCCCCACAGGAAAGGACCTGTGCCACCTGCTAGTCTCACCAGGGTGGGCCCATTTTCATTTACCTTATATTTTATTCTTTGGAGACAAAAATCCTAGTATGTAGCCCAGGCTGGCCTGGAACCTATGAGCCTCCTGTCTCAGTCCCCCAAGTGTTGGGATTACAGACATGAAACATCACACTCATCTTAGGATTCAGAAATCTTCTTTCTCTTTTTCATATTTATATATTTATGTATTTAAGTTTTTATTTATTTTATCTTTTGTTTTAAGGATTCAAAAGTCTTGAGTGGGAGCGATGGCCCAGTGGCTAAGAGCACTGGCTGCTTTTCCAGAGATCCTGAGTCCAATTCCCAGCAACCACATGGTGGCTCACAAACATCTGTAATGGGATCGGAAGTCCTCTTCTGGTGTGTCTGAAGACAGCTACAGTGTAGCTCATATACATTAAATAAATAAATAAATAAATAAATAAATAAGTAAACCTCTTTTTTTTTTTTTTTTTTTTTTTTTTTTTTTTTTTTGGTTTTTCGAGACAGGGTTTTTCTGTGTAGCCCTGGCTGTCCTGGAACTCACTCTGTAGACCAGGCTGGCCTCGAACTCAGAAATCCGCCTGCCTCTGCCTCCCAACTGCTGGGATTAAAGGTGTGCGCCACCACTGCCCAGCAATAAATTTTTTTTAAAGTCTTCCCAGATGTTATTTGACACAGCATTTATTATAATTTCCTCTTAGCTGAAGTGACCACCGTTCAATCACATCCCAGGTGGCAAAAGGCTCAGAGAATAGGTCAGGTGACTAACAGGCTCAGTCACCTCTTTGGCCTCCCAGACCTGGTTCCCTCCTTACCTCAGCATTAGAGTAGTAAGTGTCCCAGGTGGAGCGCAGTGCCTCCTGCCCCCCTAGGTCCCACATGAGGAAGTGGGTCTTCTGAAAAACAATTTCTTCCACGTTGCTACCAATAGTGGAACAGGTGTGAACAACCTCATTGGTCAAGCTAGGGAGGCAAGAGACGGTCCTAAGGTCTTTCCCCAGCTCACTCCCAGCTCAGACCCTCTACTCCCAAAGCAGCTGAGTCCATCCCAGAACAACTCAGCTCTGGGTTGTTCAGCACTAGCCAAGGCCCATGTCCCGTGGTTGATACGAGAAAAGAAAGATATGAGTTAGTCCGAGTGTGGTCTGGCCTGGGAGAGCCTAAGAACAATCCTACGTCCTCAGGCTTGGCAGAAACACCTGGGAGTCTTGTCTAAAGCAGCCCAGGATCCCTGAGGCCTGGTGGCTTGCAGATAAGCTCTGTGGACCACACTGGAATTTTGGGAGCTGTGGAGAAACAGATCCCAGTAAGGCCATCAGACGTGTCCCTGGTTTAAGGACAGAAAAAAAGAAAACTTTTGTTTGTTTTCAGTTTGGGGTGGTTTGGTTTGATTTTCTTGGTTTTTGTTTATGTTTGTTTTGTGTATTTGGGGTGCTTGTGTGTGTGTGTGTGTGCCCGTGTGTGTGACTATATGACCTTAAATATGAGATCCTCCCTCTGAAGGTTAACTTCCGAGCGCTGTGATTATAGGCAAGGACCACAATGCCTGTTTAAACGTGTTTTATGAAAGCTTACCAAGAAGTTATAAGGAAGCTTGAGAGTGAAATCTTTGTACTGTTTGACTTTTCTTTTTCTACTGTAACAATGTCAGGAATCTAGAGTCTCAAGAATTCTAGACAAGCACCCTACCACTGACCAACACCTCCAGACCTTTCTTTTCTAATGGAATTTAATTAATTAATTAATTAATAACATATATTACTTTCTCAGGGAGCACATGCTCTCAATAGAGTCTCCACATCAGGAGAGACTCCATCCGGAGCAAACGACTGGGAAAGCCAGGGTGGCTGTTTGCACAGCTTGTAGGATAGACTAGGAGCTGCCTAGCTCCCGGTCTGCCCTGGCTGGGGTTTGAAGTAGAAAGTTAACTAACCGTAGGGTGCAAGAGTGAGGAGAAAGGGTCCTGCCGCCAGGGGGAGCCAAGAGCAGCGAGGCGAGAAAGCTCCTGGCATTTCACACCTGCCAGGACTAAAATGTGTTTGGCAGGATAGATCGCCGGAGGCCGTGGGACCAGAGGTCTCCCATCGCTGGCAGGAGTCAACTCCAGGCTGGCAACCACTAAATCAGGAAGGTCACATCAGCATCCTCCCATCACTCTTCTTGTCTACAACTACCCACTAACCCAGGGAAGGGCTCTGGTGATTGGTGCAAATGACTATCAGTCTGCTGTGAGGCCCAGCCCTCTCTGTTCACCCAGTAGTTACTTACAACTGGTAGAGAATGGTGGTCTTTCCTGCATTGTCCAGTCCCACGATGATGACTTTATGTTCTGGAGGCATCCAGGGAAAGGGGAAAGTCAGAACCAGCCTGGACTACCACGGGCTTGGGTGTCCCTAGTAGGCTTCTTGTCCTGGCCTCTTCTTCACCCTCCGCTCCTGCCTGGAGGATGCCTTCTCTCCCGGTTCCGCCCATCTCTCAGCCATCTCCAAACCTCACCACAAAGAGCTAAAACTCGATATCTCAGCTTTTTGTGTGCTCCCCCATACCCCCTTTCCTAGGATGCGCAGGAGAAATGCGTTCCCGGCGGGCTGGGGATCTCTTCCGGGGACTGTACCGTTTCACTTGCCATCAGACCGGACCCCTGCACTCCTCCGGACCCCTACCCCACCTCCGTCTACATTTCTAGACAGCGATTTTCTGAAGGGTCTGAAACACGCTGGGCTCTAAATCACAATTTCAAAAAACTGACTTTGTGGCCCCTCCGGGTCCCTCACTGCTCAGCTGGGAGGTGGGGTCCGGGGCAGAAGGTTCTCCCACCCCTGGGCGCTGAGCACACTGAAACGCAGGGTCGGGATGGGGGGCGGGAGGAGAGCAGCCAGGAGGCGGCGGGGCATGTGGGAGTGCACAAAACGAACTCAAGGTTCCCAGTTAGTCTTCCCCCCGACGACTCCAGAATCCCAAGAGCCTCACAATACAGCGGAATCAAAGAGGTCACTGGGCTGCCCGGTGCTCCTCTTACCCTGGCTCCCAAAGATTCGCGTCAGTTTAACTATCAGCTGTCCCATGGCACTCCTGGAGCTGGGGGCCTGCAGGGCTCAGCAGCCTCCGGGGCCAGAGTCTGGCTCCAAATCTTCATAGCCCCGCCTGGGGGAGGGCCGGACCCGCTGCTCCTATCAGATGTGGGGAACCCCAAGCGTCACCCTCGAGACCTGGGAATCCCACGGGACGCTGGCCCTTCGCCCGTGCGGAGGGACTAAGTGACGTCACCATGAAGACCAGGTATTTGACCAGGGCCCTGAAAGAGCAAGGAAAATCTCAAAATCCTCTTTACCCTGAGAAAACTGAAGTTGGGACTATCGGCTTTAGTGTTGCGAATAGAGTCAGCAATGTGCAAAGGGAATGCCTGCTCTTCCTCCCCAAAGCTGGGGCAAAACCCTCCAAGGGCGGTCCAACTTTCTCAGGTTGCGACACAGAATTCTCATCTACAAAGTTCAGACTGAAGAACCCTGCAACTCAGTTACAAATCAAACAAACAAACTATAACTGTTTTGCCAATCCAATCTCGTAATTTTTTAAACATTTTTAAAAATTTTTTGTTTGTTTTTCGAGACAGGGCTTCTCTGTGTAGCCCTGGCAATCCTAGAACTCTCTGTAAACCAGACTGGACTCCAACATCAGAGATCCGCCTGCCTCTGCCTCCTGCGTGCTGGGATTAAAGGCATGTGCCAACCAAACCCAGCATTTTAAGATTTAGTGTGTGTGTGTGTGTGTGTGTGTGTGTGTGTGTGTGCACCACATGCCACACGTTTGAATACATGTGTACCGTTGGAAGCCAGATGAGATCCTCAGATCCCAGCTTGGATACTGGAAACCCAACTCAGGTTCTCTTGAAGAGCAACAAGTGCTTTTAACTGTTGAGCCTTCTCTCTAGCCTCTAATTACATCATATTGTAATTTTTCCCATTTTGTGTTAGATGGCATTCATAACTATTCTTAGTTACATGTAATAGCATGCAGCCTATAGGCCACAGGTTAGACATGCCTGCTATCATAATGATGTCTAAGAGATGGTCCAGTGGTTAAGTGCTGCTCCTCCAAAGGACCATGTTCTCTTCCCAGCAGCCACATTGGACAGATAACGACTCTCTGTTAACTCCAGGTCCGGGGAATTTGTTGCTTCTGGCTTCTGCTGATACCTGCACTCTTGTGCACACACCCACATACAAATACACACATCTATATATAGTTAAAAATAATAAAAATAAAATTGTAAAATCACCACGATCAGGTGTGGTGGCTCAGGTCTTTAATCCCAGCACTCAGGAGGCAGGGACAAGTGGATTTCTGAGTTCAAGCCCAGCCTGATCTACAGATCGAGTTCCAGGACAGGCAGGGCTACACAAAGAAACCAAAAATAAACTTAAAACCTCAGGCAGGCTCACAGATCACATGCCAGCCTCCAGCAGGTCTCCAGTGGTTTCATTAGTAGGGAGCTTTCTGGACCCACTCAGAGTAGGCTCCCCTAGGATATTATGGGTCTCCAATCTTATTGTGTGTACCTCTAGTCATTTTATGGAAAGATCAAGGTTGTTTCTGCAATTCACTGACAATCCAAGCACTGTGGCGGTTGGTCAATGTTGGAAGCCTAAAAACAAGAGCTTCCAGCCAGTGACCTTGCAGAGGGGTTCCAGGCAGGAAGGGCAGATAGAAGAGTCAGGGGTCATGGCACATAGCTGCAATTCCAGTCCTGGGGAGGTTGAGGTGGGAAGATCCTGAGTTAAAAACCAGCCTGGGATACTGGGTGGTGGTGGTGGTGATGGTGGTGGCACATGTCTTTAATCCCAGTACTTGTGAAACAAATCCTGTTCTGGGAAGTAACTCCCATGACCCTTCCCCCTCTCAAAGGAAATAAAACAATAAATACCCAGCCTGGGCTACATAGTAAGATTGTCTCTTACAATATAAACCAGTGATTCTCTTTCAGCAGAGGAGAAACAGTCTTTTTATTTGTTGATTTGTTTGTTCCTTTGTTTTTTCAGAGGACCTGGATATGTGATCTGTCACCTTGGCTGGCTTTAAACTCCTGAACTCCAGTAATCCTCCTGCCTCAACCTTCTGAGTGGCTGGCCTCACAGGCTCTAGCAGCAGGCAGACCCAATAGTGGGTTTTGTGGGTCATGAAGAAAACAAGCAGCTCCAGCAAAAAGAGGGAGGGGAAAAATGTAGTTTTTGTGAATTTCACAACCTGGGGGAAACCCAGAAAAATCAAAAGAGAAGTGGAAAAAGGCAAGTTGACCTTAGGCTGAGAACCTCAGAGTCCCAGACTCCACATCTTCTCTTTGGCCCTGAGAAAACTTTGGTATACTTTTGGTATACTTCTCCTGCACTACAAATCAAGGCGGACTCTAAGAAAGGGGCTGTAGTCATCACATCCCCACACTGGAGTGTCCTCCTAAGGCCCCCTTATGACTGTCTGCCCTCTGCTAAGGCAGCAACCTCTTAGTACTGCCATCAGGGCCTCCTTCCTCCTCATGTCCTACCAACCTTTCTTAAAGACAGTTCAGGGTCTGTGACTCTGCCACTCCATAAGCTTTGGATGGCTCTCTGTTGCCCACTGAGTTCAAAGCAGCTTCCTCATGCAGCCTTCAAGAGCTCCCAGAAACAGCCCCTGGCCACATGCCTGCCTGCATGCCTACCTGAGCCTGCCTGCACCTGCCTGCACCTGCCTGCACCTGCCTGCACCTGCCAGCCTGCATGCCCGCCTGCATGCCTGCCTGCCTGTGCCTGCCTGCGCCTGCCTGCCTGCATGCACCTGCCTGCCTGCATGCACCTGCCTGCCTGCATGCCCCTGGCTGCGCGCCTGCCTGCCTGTGACTGCCTGTGCCTGCCTGCCTGCACCTGCCTGCCTGCCTGCCTGCCTGCCTGCTCCTGCTTTTGAAGCATTTAAGTCTGTTGGTCCTTCCTCACTCAGGTCCCAGTCTCAGTCAGATCCCTCATGTTCTTCAGCCTCTGACCTCCACAGGCCCACCCAGGCATATATAATAAACACCTTCATCCCGTTCTGTCTGGTGAACAGGGCTAGAACAATACAAAGTTGACAGCCACGACCCACAAAGTCCATCTGGACTGATTCCATCTCAGCCCTAGGAAGGAAGCTGGGGTCAGGGCTGTGAGGCTTGACAAGGGCACAGAATGTATTTGGGGACATTACCAGTGTTTGAGGCATGGCTGCCATCTGGTTCCTAGGGGGAGAAAGGCATCCTGCTTTGTCACCCAGTTGGAGAATCGAAAGTGACACTGGCTAGGAGCACACTGAGTGAACAAAAAAGAACTTCAGTGTGGGCTGGAGAGACAGCTCAGTTAAGAGGGCTTAAGAAAGCCGGGCAGTGATGGCGCAGCCTTTAATCCCAGCACTTGGGAGGCAGAGGCAGGCGTATTTCTGACTTCAAGGCCAGCCTGGTCTACAGAGTGAGTTCCAGGATGGCCCGGGCTACACAGAGAAACCCTGTCTCGAGAAAAAAAAAAAAAAAAAAAAAAAAAAAAAAAGAGGGGGTTAAAAGCAGCTTGCTCACTCTTCTAGAGAATAGAGTTTGGTTCCTAGAATCCGGGTAGGTCAGGGGACCCAGCATCCTCTTCTGGCCTCAGTGTCATTTGCACACACACACACACACACACACACACTTACTTCTCTGAGAAAGTTTGATTTAGAAGGGAGCCTAGACAAGCACTAATATTTAGGATATTGGAACCATGATCCTATCCTGGGCCAAAGTGGCCTCAGCTTAATCCAGCCTATTTCAGGATAGTGAGCCTTAGGACAGACTTGGGCTCTGTGGCCTGTTCTACTTCAGAGGCAGCATCCACCAGAGATGGAAGCAGCTAGTCAGAGAAGCAATGAGGGAAAGGTAACCAGTTAGGAAGAGTGCCCCGCCTCAGCTTCTGAGTCCTGGACATGGTGGCGGTAGCAAGCCGGCTGATAGCATGGCTGTTAAAATTCTCATGTGTTCACATCCACGAGCTTACTGGCCCAGCAGCCTGAGTGGGTAGAGGGTGTGGTTACCTAAAAATGAGACTTTCCCAGTCTCTATCATCTATACCAGCTAGAAATGCCTATCTGTAAGTTCTGAGCAAATGCAGTTGTAGGCAGAAGGTACCCAGAGAGAGGCAACACGCATTCGGACACCTGCTCCCTCCGCCTCAACCTCCTGACCCTTACTCTTTCCAAAATCAGTGTTTCCTGAAGCAGAAGAATTAGTTGAACTTGGGGATCACAGGCAGCACATAGCAATATTTGTGGGGACTGGTGAAGTTGCCTTGGGTGACTCCCAATTTTCTCACTGGCCACTTCCAACTTACTCCCCTCAGAGTGCCTCAAATCCCACTGGGCTGCTCTAGGGGTCAGTGGCTGCTTTCCACTGTGGCCTGAGCTGAGTTTTCCCCCAGGGAGCATCAGTAGGGAAGGCTGTAACCTGCCACTACCTTCTACAGTCCTTCCATTTCTGCTTATCAGTTCCAGAACAAAACTCAGACTCCTTAACATAACAGAAGGCCTGCTGTGACCTGCTCCTGCCAAGCTGCTCTGGCCACCAGCTGTCACTATGCTTTGTTAGACAGATGCCACCAGCATGTCATGCATGCTCCCCTCTCCTCTGCACTAGGAACTTCTTCCTGTTTCTCTGTCTAGGTTAACCTAACCATGTTCCCAGGTTTCAAGTGAGCCTTACCCACTTCCCTCTCGAAGCCTTCTCTGACCTCCCTGGCTAAGGGATTGGTGCTCCCAGTACCAAATGCTCCCCACAGCCAAAACCTCAGAGCACTCTCTGTGGTTTTGAGTTTGACTTGTGCCTACCGCTTAGGGGATCTTTAATAAACGCTGGCTCCAGAGCTAAACATATAAGTGAATGATTGATTCCCATGCAAAGGTAGTGGGGAGGCTGGGAGACACAGCGGGGGTTCTCCACCACTCTATGATCAATTCCCCAAGGGACTCTGCCCCTGGCCTGCCCAGTTCCCTGTCTGAGATCTGCTGGCTCATCTGGTGGCCATCAAGAGTCTGATGTCACGCTGACCCTTAAACACAAAGTATGAGCAGAAGCACTCAAGTCCTCTAGAGCTGTCACCTCAAAAACAAGACCCAGGAAGGTAAGGAAGCTTTGCAGGTGCTGTGTGAGCAGGATACAGGGGACAGAAGTGACAGCTATGAAAGCCCACATCCTGCCAGCTGGTGATGGAGGAGGGGCCTGCCACCTGCTTATTTTGTTTTCAGTGTCTCTGGGGGCTGGTCTCTACCACCTCTTCACACAAGCCGGTGACCTCCTCAGCTCCAAAGCTGGTTCTCAGGACAGCACTCAGGAGGGTGAGGCAGGAGAATTGCTATGAGTTCCAGGTCAGTCAGGGTTACATTGTAAGCTTGTCCCAAAATAAAATATTCTGGCATGGTGGTTCACTCACAGCTGTGATCCCAGCATCTGGGGATGCTGAAGTAATCCCAGGACAGCTGGAGATATGTGGGGAACTCCAGGTGAGCCTTGTCTACCGAGTGAGACCCTGTCTCGGGAGAAAGTGAACAAACAACCCTCCCCCACAACAAACTGGGTGCTGAGTGTGTGGTGGTATGTGCCATTAATCCCAGCAGTCAGGAGGCAGACGCAGGCAAACCTCTGCGTTCCAGTGTCGCTGAAGCTCACTCCTCCCTAGTGAGGGGAGCTGCTAGGACACAGAGAGGTCAAAGCAGAAAGCGACTAAAATAATAAATAAATAAATAAATAAATAAATAAAATTTAAAAAAATGTGCCTTTAAGATGTGAAGCAGTAGCCGGGCGGTGGTGGCGCACGCCTTTAATCCCAGCACTTGGGAGGCAGAGGCAGGCGGATTTCTGAGTTCGAGGCTAGCCTGGTCTATAGAGTGAGTTCCAGGACAGCCAGGGCTACACAGAGAAACCCTGTCTCAAAAACCAAAAAAAAAAAAAAAAAAAAAAAGATGTGAAGCAGTGAGGCTTGAGCCCACCCAGTGAGCAGCACCTCGCCCCCCTCTGCAGGGAAGAAACGGGTAAGAAGTGAGCTTGTATCTGAGTGAGGAGCACCTGCAGACAATCCGGAAGCAGCCAAACAAAGTACTCTCATCCCTCCTATGCCTCAACGGCCCAGGACAGAGCCTGCACACCCCCTTGTTTCCCAGCGGGTCCCCACTCCCACTTCTGAGAGCCAGTAAGGCTGCGGGTGGCAACAAAGAAAACAGGCTCAGGAAGTGGCCGCAAAGGACGGAACTGCGGTTTTATATGTGGCAAAATATCTCTCCTAGAGGAGTACAGACAAACAGACAGACAGATGGGCACAGGACAGTAGACGGGGAGCGGAAGGTTGGGCAGTGCTATCTTCTAACCTGTTAGTGGAAGCTGCACCCCACCCCCCAGGGGCGTGGAGCAACATTGGCACAGGAGGTGGCGAGACAGGCGTGAGGTGCCCATCCCCGAGGTGGGCAGCTGGGCAGGGCCCAGTCCTCGTTGGCACAATCGGCTCTCTCTGGACCAGCTGTGATGCTGGGGAGGGGGAGGGCTGCTGGACTATGGGGATGCCGAGACTAAGGAACCCTAGGAGAGAGGGGCTGCCAAAGCCTCTCTTGAGGAAAGTGGACACTGGGGAAGGACAAGATCACAAGAGGCAAATACAGAGAAGCAGCAGCAACCAAGACCCCTAGGGGAGACCCAAGGTCCTCAGGAAGCCCCTGGATGGTCACCTCATGGGCACCGACGCATAGAGCCTGTTCCCTGGGGCCTCAGGGTGAAGGTGAAGGAGAAGTTTTTTTGGTTTAGAATGAGGTGGACCAAAGTACTCATGGTCTCCACACCCAGGTGGCACGGAGATGTGGGGCTCAGATGCAGAGGGCCCCTCTCTTCTGATGGCAGCAGGCAGGGTATGCTGTAGACAAAGCTCATTCCTGGGGGAAGGTAAGGTTTTGAGGGAAGGGGGCAGCATCTTGAGTTGCTCACTCCTCAAGTTTCTAGGCCCTGCTTTCTTGCCATGACCATGGAGGGCAGAGAGCACACACTGATGCCCGTCAGCTTGCACCCAGCTCTGCTCCCCAAGACAAGCTCTACATGGGTTTCCAGGCTGTGGCTTTCACCCACCAGAGAATGCTGCTAGGAAACTAAGTTATGGGATGGACATGGTGGGGGAATCCCGGGTCTGGGGTTTGGGGAAGATTCAGTGGGCTCTCTTCAGGAAAAGCACCCAACCTTTCCCCAAGTACCCCTGTGTTGGTAGAAGAAGCCCCACCCCCACCCCAATTAGGACCTTCGCTTACAGCCCCGAAGTAGAAAGAGTTGAGGAAGTGCACCTTTTCTCTGGGAGGGAGAGATCCCCCAAAGATGGGGAAAGGGGGCACTTCAGAAAGTAGGTATCTCCCCATCCACCCACAGCAGTTTAGGGAAAAACCTATAGCTGGGGATTAAGGACTCCCAGGAGTTGGGATGACAACCACCAAAGAAACCGCAAGCTTTGAGCAAAGGCATCTGAAAATGAGGGACGCAGCGCCCCCCAGAGGCAAGACACATCTTGGGTGGTGGACCCCTCTGCCCTCCCCTCCCGGAACTCAGAGCCTTTCCTCTCCCAGAACTGTCCCTGCCTCTCAGCGGATGTAGACGCCTTGTCCCCAGCCCTCCAGCTCATTCTTATTGCGCCCCAGAACCGGCCCACCACCCTCCGCACAGTAGCGGGCCTTATTCCGGCCCCGGTTCCTGTTGTCGGTCATCTCCTCGTCATAGTCTTCCTCGTCTTCCCAGGAGCCCTGTCGGGCTGGTGGTGTGCCTCCCCCTGCAGGGTCTCCAGGCCCTGGGCCCTCTGAGGGGTCTGTCTCCATGTCCACACACGAGTCTCCCGGCTCCGTGTAGGCAGAGTTTCGGCTGCCGGGGGTGTCAGCATCAAAGGTGTCTTGGCGGGATAGCGCCCGCAGGGTGCCTGCCCGGCCAGGTGGGTGGTTGCTGGGGTAAAGGCCTGGGGGCTGGCCCAGTTCCCCGGGGTACTCGTGCACACTGGCATGCTCCCCAGTGGCCCGGTCCAGCGGCTGGTCCCCGGAAGCAAGGTAGGGTCCCTGGTTAGCAGACAGACGGCACGCACCATGCAGATCAGGCAAGGGTGAGAAAAACACAAAGCAAGGCAGGTTAGTCATAGTGCCAAGACACCAGCCTGGCTCCTGGAGGGCGCTGGCTCTAGGGGAGGGGCACCCAGGAGCAGGGCGATGGCTCTAGAGCTGAGCCCAGAGGGCAAGCCACAGGCCATTTGCTCCTCCCCCTAGCAGCCTGAGGGCACCCAACTTCATCTGAGCTTGAACTCTACTAGTAACCACCGTAAGGAGCCCTGAATAATTAGTCACCGCTGCTTCCTCAGTGCATGTTATTAATGCTTTCCTGGGTTAATCATCGTTAACAGCTCATTAGTACTGCTCATTAGTCGTTGCTTGGGTTAGTCAATTGCTCCAATTTTCCCAATACAGTGAGATTTCAGCTCAAACTCACTGACCCCAGCTTCCTCTGCCCACACTAGACCTCAGCCACAGGCTTCCAGAAACCCACACTTCCTCTTTACGCTAACCCGGAGTCTCCAAGGTTGATAGGATTCCTTTCCAGCCCCCCAACAAAACACTCAAAGCAGCCAATTTGAAGAGGACGCATGACTCCACATCTCTACCCTCCCTAGCTCCACACCCACAGCTGGAGAGCACAAGGTGGCCCAGTGCCCTCATCACCAGTAGCTGACAGCTCCTGCCATCTCAAGCTGTGTGACGGAGCAATCCTCTCTGTGGTACCATTTCCTGGTTAGAGCGGGATGGGGATTGCACAACCGCTCGAGTTTCCAAACTGCTTCCTGGAGCTGCTTTAAGGCAGAGTGGGGCGGGGCAAAGAAGTGCTCCTATGGTCCCTGAGGCTGGAAAAGGGGAGGCTAGACCCCAAGTCCCTGTGAGTAGATCCAGGATGGCTCAGCTTCACTGAACAAGCGGGCTCTGTTGCTGAAAACCCACTTGAGATGCAGCAGTCTAGAATGACGTCATGGTGTTCTGCTCTAAACCAGACCATACACTTAATGGTGTGGGCTCCGAGATGGGCTGTGGCTCCGTGGGAGGAGAGCCTTTCCTGGACTCTGTTTCCCTGGGAGACGGTGGAAGGTAGGACTTAGCTCATAGATGCTTCAACTTGGGTTCCCTCAAGGATTGAGGGATGCCAGAGTAAGGCAAGTTCTCTGGATTCGATGGTCCCCACTCTGTTAGATCTAACGTGGGTATGGAGCTGACAGCTGAGGTGCTGGCTTGTAATTCCAGCATCCAGGAGGCTGAAGCAGGAGGATTCCCTCCAGCTTGAGGCCAATCTGGAACACTGAAAATTCCAGGCCAGCTACTGCCAGAATGAAACTGTGTTTCCAAAAACCAACAACAACAACAAAAAGAAAAGGGAGTAGAGTCCAGTGAACAAGCCTATTGCTCTTCCTCGGATTTTCTTCCTAGTGCCTGGACTTATAAGAGGTCCTTATCAGGCCTCAAGTCCAACAGACAGCAGATGCAGTCCTAAGGGACCAGTCCCAGGGAGGCAGCACCAGCCAGCCCCCAGTCCCACCAAAAACCACAGACACCAGACGCTGCCGCTCACCACGTTTTTTACAAAATAAAGCTCTTCCCTTCCTTCCTCATGTTCCCTGCACTTCAGGGTGGGAGGAAAGACCGGAGGGACATCGGCTACATGGCGTGCTCCTGAGGCTGGGCCACCGCGTCGCCTCCCCGCGGTGAGGCCTCCAGCCCGCCCCAGAAGCTGAGATTTCTCCTGAGCGAGGTGAGCACCTGTACCTGGAGGTTGGAGACCGGGGCAGGGCTGGCAGCCAGAGCTGCGGTAGCCATGGTGCGGTTCAGCAGCGGATTGGGTGGCGTGCTGCTAGGCGGGTGTGTGGCCTTCCAGTAGGCTTCCAAGTACTCGGCCAGATGCTCGCAGGCATCTTCCAATTGGTTCTCGTCCAGAATTATGTCAAACATTTCCTGTGGAGGTGGGGTTAGGGGCGGGGCTGGGATGAGCGGGGGCGTGACCAAGGGTTGAAGGTGTGGCCTGGGTGCAGTGGGTGGAGTCAAGGGGGTTGAAGGACAAGGTTAAAAGGCCTCTGGATGTGGAGCAAGGAAAGGACACTCAGACCTACAAAAGACTGAACTCAGCCCAACTCCCTCTCATTCTAGGGACAGGGAAATCACGCCATGGCTCCGCACGCAGTTAGAAGTGGTTGAGCCATTTGGCCAACGACGCATCCCTCTTTACCCAAGGACCGGTTTGTACCTAAAGACCTGTCCCAGGTGCTGCCTTCCATGCAGGCTGAAGGAAACAGGAGAACCCAAAAGAACACCTTCCCTTCCCTCCCCTGGGTCTGAGCACTCACGGGGGGACACTGTGCCAGCTTCTCCGAGGCTGCTATTTGGACATTGAGGTGTTTGGATTGAGACTTCCCTCGGGATTTGATGAGCCTCTGCAGTACCTGGTGGAGAGGAAGAGAGGGAGCTAGAAGGACACGGGCAATGACCCAAGTCTAAAAGGCAGAATCTGCTTGGAGCCAGTGGGAAATCAGAGTCAGAGCGGTGGAATGTTCCACGATTCTCTGCCCTGAGCATCTCTGCCAGGATGAACTCAAAAGCTCTGTGTCCACTACACAAGGCTCAGGCAACACACACACACGGAAAGACAGACACACGCACACACGCACACACACACTTTCTCACATAATCGCGTGGCACAAAACACACTCATATACACATACACTCATACACTCTCACACACATTGTCACTTTCTCAGACACTCATGCACATACATACTCACGTACACATATGCAAATATTGACGCAACACACTCATACATTGATGCAACACACTCATAACACACATGCACACACACTCACTCACGCCTTGTCTACAGACTTTATTCTAGTCCCCCAGTCTGATTCCCTCTTGTCCATATGAACAACAGCAATCATCCTTCGTGGAGAAACTCCTTGCTAGATACCAGGCTGGCATCCCACAGGTCCTGGGCACCAGTAATCTGCTGCCTCCTGTCTATTCTCTTGAGTAGCTGGTCTATGCTTCTTTATATGATTGACTCAGTCCTCCCGAAACGAAATTCAGCCACGGAGGGACATCAAACTCAAATAGAGAGACAGTCTACAACATGGTTGGCCTATACTACTGCAAAACACTATTGTCATAAAAATCTAAAGAAAGCTAAAGAGCTACTCCATATTAAGAAGATTACATGTGAGGCTGAAGAGATGGCTGCTCTTTCATAGGACCCAGGTTCAAATCCCAGCACCCACATGGCAGCTCACAACTGTCTGTAACTCCAGTTCCAGGGGGATCAGAGGATCCAACACAGACATATATGCAAGCAAGACACTAATATGCATATATATATATGTATATGTATATGTATATATATATACACATATATATACATACATACACACACACACACACACACACACACATATATATATATATA